TGCCCGCCAGAAGAGGAGGGGGGGGAGGGGAGGGGGCAACATTTCCGACCCCGGCACCCGACCGCACGGGACGGGGCGGCACAGTAGTCGCGTATCGGCGTTTTGCCAAGGCACACGACTCCATGGAGGTCCTGAATTAGTTACAACTCTTTCACCGCAGGCCGCATCGGGCCGCCTCGGGTGGCGAGGGCGCCCGGCACTCAGCGAGGTAGGCAACCATTCGCACTGCCGCGCGCGGCGTGGGCGGACCTGCGCCTGCGGACCCCGCGGGAGCCTCGCAGTCGCAGCGACAGAGGGGGCGAGGGGCGGAGGGGGCGAGCCGAGAGAAAATTGCTTGTTCCTTAATCTGACGAGGTCGTGAAATATTCAGGTGTTATGAGCTCTGATACGGCGGGCGAAGCTAATTCGTGATTTTTTATTCAGCATGGCGAAGACGGCGCCGCCGGCCGCTGAGCTGCTGGGCCGGCGTGGGCGGCTGCAAGGGCAAGGGTCTACGGCCGCGAGCCCGGCGGCGCCTCCGCACCCGACTCTGGCCAGCATCGGCAGGAGCCGCACCTTCACCATCGAGAAGGAAGAGGACGAAGGTACGAGTCGGCGGGGATTGAATTGATTAAACGGTGCGACTGTGTCGTCGATTTTTCTTTTGTTTTCACCTTCTTTTTTTTTCAGCAAAAGATGCAGATGAGAAAAAGAACCAGAAAGTCAGTTTTGACCGTACGCTGTCGGCGACCGGACCAGGTTCTTCCGTGGTCACCCCTGCTGCAATGCCCACACCAGCCCCGCGCGAACGGCGTCAACGACCTCCAGCAGGCGACGGCGCTGACGCGACCCCCGAGCGTCCCGCGGCCCTGGGGCTAGGGGTGCAGGTTGGCGTGCAGGACGGGGAGGCCCCCACCGCCCCCGTGCCAGCCCCGCGCAGGGCAGCCAGAACCAGGGTGTCCAGCACAGGCGAGCCGGTTGCTTCAACGGCGCCCTCGGAGGAGGCGCAAAGACCCGCTGAGGCCGATGCAGGAAGATGGGGAGGTCGGCGACGTCTGCTCCGTCGCCAGGCAGCTGGCGAATCTTCTTCCTCAGACGCGGAGTCTGCACGCGGTCGTGGCGGTCAGAAGATCGTGCTGGTGACGGAAGCCGAGGTCCACGAGCCACCGTCTGCGGCCAGGTCGGAGGTCGTCCGGAAGGCGCGGCCAGAGCAGGGCGCCTCCAGGAGGGGCTCCGCAATCCCAGAAGCGCTGCTCGACGAGATCAAGAGGATGAGTCAGACCAGCCAAGCGAGTCAGGACAGCACCCGCAGTGTGGAGGAAGGGACCGGCGACACCCCAGAGGAGCTGTCTGCGGGCGGCGGCGACAGGGATGTCGTGGAGGCGCCCGACGCAGGCGGAGCGGACGCTCTGCTGGAGGCTTACGAGGAGCCCGCCGTTGTGCCAACTGCAACGCCCGACGGGGAGGTGAATACGACCACCACGGTCACCACCACCACCACCACCACCACTGGTAGCCATAGCGCCGAGGGGATCCTGATCGTGCCCATCGAGCAGACCGATGCCCCTTCCCATCACGACGACGGGGTACACGTCGAGCAGGCCGCGTCAGCCCCGACGCCCCCTGAAACCGACTCTGACGACGTATCCTTTCCTAGTGTGGCGATCCCCGAGGCACCGATACAGGACCTCCCCGGAGCAGATCCCGTGGAGCTACACCCCCCTGTGACGGTCCCCGAGGAGCAACCTTCCACCCTTGTGCCGATCTCAGACGAGAATCCCTCTTCAGTGGACGTTCCCGAGGAACAACCTTCTCCAAAGACAGACCTCGATGAGCAGCCTCCCATCGAGGCAGTGCTTGAAGACCACCCGCCTGCCCTTCAGAAAGCTTCCTATGAGCACCTCTCCCCCACGACGACGGACCCCGAGGAGGAGCAACCCCCGATTGTGACGACCGCCGAGGAACATCCTCTCCTTGTAACGGCTCCTGAGGAAGTGGTGACCCCACCTGAACTTTCGGCAACAAGTTGCACGCAGGGTGAGCCCCGCTCTGCCCCCCTACCAGCCCTGCCGACGTCGCCGCCACCCGTAGGGCAAGGTCTTCATAAGACTGAGCCGCCCGAACCAGAGTCCCACGACGGGGCCGCCGAGACACCACCCGGACACCGCGCGGGCCGCGGGGACGGGCCGGCGACCGAGGTGGTGGGGGTCGGGGGTCCCACCACGGGCAGGACGCTGCACCGGATGGACGATTCGACGAGGGAACGGCTCCAGCGACACATAGAGAGGTAGGGGCGGCGGACACAGCAGTACTTATGCGTACGTACGCGGTACCGCCCATACTTGACGTGTCTCACCTTGAGCATGGTCTTCCGCAGGGCGGTGCTGGGCGCCGCGGGCGGGCCGCCCGTGTCCCGCGAGGCCCTGCAGGCCGGCCTGGACCAGGCGTCGGCCGCGCTCGCCGCCTTCTACGCGACGCCGTCCTCGGAGGCGGAGGCCGTGCGGCTGCGGAGCGAGGAGCTGCTGAGTCGGCTGCGGCGTCTCAAGGGTGAGTCGGGTGTGCTGCTGGGGGTCGAGGCCGTGCGCTGAGGCCTGGGGACCAAAGTCGCGAGGTGGGACCAGAGTTGAGTTCCGTTTACGGCGCGTTATGTGAGGGCGCCAGCTCCTCTTTGTCTACCGCTGCCCTTTGATGTGGTGAGCTGTGCTTGGTATGCACCCCGTTTCCTCCTCCCTACTACCACCACTACCCCAACCACTACCCACCACCTCCACCCTACTGCGGTGCCAGCACCACGCCGCACCGCACCGCCGCTTTTTCGAAAATGTCTTATGGGAGTACTCGCTGCCGTGCTGCTGTGTGTCGCCCACCCCCAGCACCCCTTTTGTGCCCTTTGTCTCTTTTGTCCGCGCGCCGCACCTCCTCGTCCCCGGGGGCCGGACGCGGCGGTGTCCAGTCGCCGTTACCACCCTCAAGCGCAGGGGAGGGGGTGGGGGAGGGGCACCCTTCCCATCTCTCCTTCCACCCTTTGATCACGCGCCACGCACCCCCTCTGGACCGCAAGGCGGGGCGGGGCGTGTCGGTGTGGGTGTGCGGGGCGCGGCGGGGCGGGGCGAGTCGGGAGTCGGGCGTTCTGCCTCGGCCGCGGCCCCCGCCGGCCCCGTGAGTGTCCACCACAAGCGGCTGCCCCTGTCCGACCGAGTCCCACGGGGTTTAATAATGTGCGCACTGAGTGCCCCGGACGGCCTGGGTGCGGTCTCAAGGGCGGGGCTGAGGACGGCACTCGTTTTATACGTCACTGGGCAGCCGCTCACACACACTCCTTGGCCGTGCCGAGGAAAGCACACACACCCATGCCGCCCTTCGCCTAGAACTCGCGGGTGGCGCCTAACAGATGTACTTTTCCGTTTCGCAGAGGAGGTGTCCGCGAGCGTCGTGTTCCCGGTGTCGGCGGGTTGCCGCGTGGCACAGTCGGGCTCCCCAGTCGGCTCCGGGCCCCCGCAGCCCCCGCTGCAGCCCGGAGGCAGCGGCACGGTCCCAGAGCAGTGCTGAGCCGGAGCTCCAGCAGCCCCTCGGAGCCGGAGCAAACCGGATCTGGCTGAAAGCGGAAAGCCGTCTCATATCACATCACACCACACCCCGGCCCGGGCCCTCGCCGACGCCTGCTGCTGCACCCCTGAGCGGGGGACAGGCGGAGGGAGAGTGAGGGTGTCCAGGTGACGGCAACAAACCCCTTCTATGTCGACTCTTAGACGAATTAAAAACGTGTCGTTACTTCCAACTTGCTTTACCGATTAATCTTGTGTGTGCCCACGCACAATAACGAGAGAACCCCCGCACTGCAGGCAGCCGGAGCAGTAGGATGCCGCAGGGGACACCGCAGGACACCGATCTGCTAGAGTGGCTGGGGCAGCGGCATGTACTGCAGCGCGCCCTGCACTCGTGGGAGGGGACAGCGAGGTGTATGTGTATATGTGTCGGTGTGTGTGTTTGTGTACAGTCGGCCGCGCCCAGCCGCCACCGCGCCCGCTACGCGCCGCCACCTGCTCGGGTATGCTTTTGCGGACTCAGCTTGGGCGTGAGCGACTTGACGCCGAGAATCGATCGAACGCTCCGCAACGCTCGGCCCCGCTCCGCCACGCTCGCCCCTGCCGAGTTGTTGGAAGGGAGCGAGGGGGTGATTAACCGAGAGGGTGGGGGAGGGAAGAGGGATGTTGTGCGATATAAATTGGACGTATTTGGAGAGAAGTAGGTCGCGGCTGAACGCGGAGAGGAGGCTGCGCGGGCTGGACAAGATGGAAGGGCCCCTTGTGCCGGGGGG